TAAATGAGTTTTTATGTCATTCGGTTTTTAGTGCTTCGAAACAGAGAGTATTCGTCAAAACGAAGAAAGAAGAAATATGATGTACGTCCTATCTCAGGTGGGGATCTGAATAAACTCTTGAATATTTTTTATCAGTGAGTCTGTTGATTTTTAGATTTTTATCATTTACCTTAACCAGAAGGTGGTTATAGCTTGGTAGATGATTACATAGTGACGAAAATGGTTTTAGTTTAAAGTTAATTGTTAATTCTCGGAAATTATAGTACCGAATAATTTTACAAAAGCCATTTTCTTGGATAACTTACTTCAAGTCGTTCAATCCCCCAAAACTGACTATTTCACCAGTACTATTAATTTTGAATATACGGTTTAAATAAGTATTGAATAACAGAAGACCCAACATTGTACTATGTGGTACATCACATTTAACAAACATCTTTGCTATATGAATTTGATATTGCAGCCTATTTGACAAATAAAGTTTCTACTAAAGTATACATCTTTCCGCGAAAACCTGTTTTTTTCTAAAATTTCCAGAAGTATATTGTGGTTAACTGTGTCAAACGCTTTTTGTAAATTGACAAATATGGTACCTTTTCATCCATATTTTGGGTAATCTCATCTACTATTGGATTTACTTGCTGTAAAACCATGTTGATTTAAATTTAAAATTTGTAATTTATTAAGTTAATCATTTTACTAAGGAGTATTAGCTAAACTTCGTATAAGTGCAATAGGCCGATAGTTAGTGACATTTGTATTATCATTCTCTTTATAAATAGGTATTATGGTTTGCTGTGTTGAAAGCTGATGGAAATACTCCAGATTTGAAAGATTTGTTAATGATACAAGCAAGTAGTTCTGCAATTTGGTTTAAATTGTAGATTCTTGGTTGTTCTAAAGTATTTTTTATAAGTCCGATGTTTTATTTCTTACAACTAATGTCATTGGGTGGGAAGTCTAGTTTTACAGATGAACCTTTTGCTATTTCCCGATCTCTTATCAATTTAATACTGCCGAAAGAGCTCCATGTCGCATTAGTTTTTTCATTTATAACTCAAGCCTCGTTAGGCCTTCAGTAAGTCTCAGTCTCTGCCCTATAGATCAGATGTGTAGTTTTTGCGTTCATCCATTTGACCAAAGTGTGTCGAGAGTCAAGATAGCAAAAAGCGCTGTAGCACGTTAACCCCGTTGTTATCCGCAGCATGTACGCGTTTCCACAAAAAACCTTCAGCCGCCTACGGGAGATGTATCGCACAATGCCCATGAGGGTTGGATCGGTTTGTCGTTAGCCCACTTTCCAGAGGAAATGGCGGAAAAGTGTCGGACATTGACAGTTGACACAGAAAAGGGCAACACAGGAACGTGGGAAACGCCGGATATATGATATCACTCTAACAACACTGCTTTCGTCCATCCGACCAACAGGCCAACCGCGTACAGCTCTGTTTCATGCTTATTGGGAATCATGAGCTTGGTCTAAGTATTTAGGTGAAACAACGAATGAAAACCTGTCAAAAGTATCTTCTGTTAGAGGTATACAATTTATCGTCCTACAAATATACTATAATGGAATGAATATAAAAAATGATGCCGTGTAGGTTGACTCTACACTTCTACGCAACGTCGCCATCTGTTCATAAAGCTTTATGTTCAGCACAAGATAGATCCTATCGAAATGATACAACGCCATAGACCTTATATACTGGATAGAAGATAGTGGCTATGATTTCGTAGGTGATCCCTGAGACGAAGCGTAGACCATGGTCATGAGTTGCCAAAAAAGTACGAAACAGCTGCCAAAAGTTGACCGCTTGGTCGGACGGACGAAAGCAGGAAATTGAAAACTCTCTGAGAAACAAGTTACATGTATAACAGAGAAATTAAACTGATCAAGTCCTCCAAAAAGGTCCATATAATTAGTCCATAACATTATTTCCCTGCGCTAATCGTAGTACCGTCCATCTGGAAACGTCGCCTCTCCCCAAAACCTGAATGCATGATGCAGCAGCGCGGCAAAGCGCCAGTCATGCAGACACTTATGGAGGCCAACACGCCTGCCGTTGATGACAGACGCGAAATCATTCTCGATCCTTCTAAGTTTTAAGGGCAGATGTACGGGGAAATCTGTGATCTGTGACATATGTATATTAGGTGCATACAGTACACACTCATCCACCACCTACAACCCTCCACCTCCCAATTATTTACCTTTAGTAACTGTTTCAAAAAATGGCCAGGTTCCTCAGGAACGTCGAAAAACGTGGCATGAGCGATTATTTTTTTCGTTTTTGGAATTTTGCTCCGCAGCCACACTCGATCGATTTCCAAAAACTACAAAGCTTTTTCGTCCTTGACATAGTAGTAGCCTTGTGTAAAAAACTTATTAAAATCCGAGCAGTGCTTTCCAAGTTATTGATGGGCCGAGGATTTGCGAGTAGACCTACAAACCGTCAGACAGACAGACATAAATGATTGACATGGTTTTTCATATAACATCAAAAAACATGATATCTCAGTAGGAATAGTAAGTAGAAGTCGGTTTTATCCAAACTTCTCAGAAGCTTATGTGATTGTGATAATTTCAGGGAAGCTGTAAATAAACTATCTTCAGGTATGAACAGTTATAAATTTTTACCAAATTCCACATTGCATATGGGTCTTGGTTATGAGGTTATCAAACATGAACTACAGTATTCACAAGCTGGACAAGCTTCTATATTATATTCCGACACCGTTATCTCCCATATTTTTCATGTGAGTTAACTTTTCAGCAGTCTGTTCAAAGGATATTTATTCATTACAGCCCAGGGTAAAAATTACACGCCTATTCAGATATTCATTTAGATTCAAGAAACAAGAGCCGCCACTATTGTACCATTTTATTATTAATAAAAATGTTAATCCAGTTTGACCCAGTTCCGCTATATTGCAGCTTTTCCACTCAACATAATCACCGCGGTTTCGCTGTCCATTTATTTTCAGGTTGAAACAAAATTTGAAAATACGCGAAGCTGTAATTCAAATGTTTGCCGTTCATGTCTAAAACTGCGTTGCGATACATAATTCATTTAAGCCGTTCATAATATTGTTATGTGGTACAGGGACGGATCTCTTTCACCAGCAACTAAATTTTTAATGTTATCTATATGGTTCTTTCTGATTCGTCGTGCCTGTTTCATTACCAGCCTCAGGCTTCAGAAATAACGCTAAATATAGGCGTATTTTTTAATTCACCGGTTGAGCCACCGGTGCAACCAAAATTTCCGTCTGAGCGACCGGTTGTAGGTACACCAAACTTGTCTATAAACTATATAGACAAGTTTGATATACAACCGGTCGCTCAGACGGAAATTAAAAAAAGAAAAATTGGTTAATTGCTTGCACCGGTGGCTCAACCGGTGAATTAAAGAATACGCCATATTATTGATTCAGTTTGACTAGTCAGCCAAGTGATCACACAGTTCTTCTCATCGGAAAAACTCATTATGGATGAACCTTTGGGTGTTATTGAAATTGTGTTTTTAGCAAACCTTGTTCCCGGATTCGGTCAAGGACTTATTCTTTTTAACTTTTGTATGTACGTGAAGAATTTCTCTCAAGACAATTTTGTAGTTAGTTATGTTTGCCAACAGGGGACTGCATAAAGTTCTTAGGTATCCCTATTGAGGATACTATAAACTTTAAAATGCACTGTAATTCCACAATTTCGAAACTCTTATGTCCTGAAGAACCTGAATACAATTCTAAGAGAGAATAAACTGATACAAGTGTATTATACCCAGCTTGAATCAAGACTAAAATAAGGTTTGGGGCTGCTCAACACTTGCTAAAATATTTTTATAAGCCAAAAGCGAGTAATAAGATTGATAGCAGGTGTAAATACTAGGCATAGATGCAAAGTTTTATTAAACAATATGGTATTTCGACCTTTCCTCCATTATATATATATATATTCGAGATGGCCATTTTCAAGTTTTTAAATTACAACAAACTTACATTAAACAATCAAATACATAATTTTAACACAAATTCAACAGTTACATGTTCCTTAACAAATAACAAACATCGATTCATATAAAATATTTATTCAGGTTGCCATATTCAGTAGTTTGTAGTGTTTTGTATTTCTTTAGTAGTATCAGTAATATTTCTAGTATATATTGGACAAGTCCATGTTGACAGGATTATAAGTTTTACTTTTAGTATTTAATAATTTTATGTTGACTTTTTCGTATATTGTTTGTCTTTCTGTAACTTCTATATTTAATGTTTGTTATTTACCTTTTTATTTATATTTATACTGAAACGTATATGTAACTGATTCCAAATGTAAATACTCTTTACCTGTTTTGTCATCGCTTGATGATCCCACTAAATTTATTATTATTATTATTATTTTTATAGCCGTAGGGCTTTGTTACTCCCGTTAATCGGGGTGTTCTGGCTTAACCCGGACGTTTCAAGCATCAAAGGGATAAGCCTCAATAGTGACCTCACTAGGTACTTGCATTTCCCATAAATTTTCTTACTACGCGGCCAGTTGCCAGCAAAACTCCTTTCTGTATGATTTTGTAAATGTTTTCACTCAGTTCCAGCGCCTTGATGTTTTCTAGCAGGCTTCTTGGTATCACCCCTGTAGATGACATTATTATTGGTACTGTTTCCACATACTTCATTTTCCACTGGCGTTTAATTTGAAATTCTAGCTCCCTGTATTTTGCAACTTTCTCATTATGTTTGTATGTTAAATTGCTACTATTGGGTATGGCCACATCAATCAGTGTTACTTTCTGGGCACCCTTGTCGACAATGATTATGTCAGGTCTGTTTTGTTTTATGTATTGGTCCGTAAGCACAGTGCGATCCCAGTATAGTTTATACTTGTCGTTCTCGCGGACACATTGCGGTGTATATTTATAGTACTGTAGCTTGCATTCGATCAGTTTGAATTTGTATGCCAACTCCTGGTGAATGATTTTGGCAGCTATGTCGTGGCGCTCCTTATAGTCCGTTGGAGCGAATGCTTGGCATCCACCAGTTACGTGCTGTATTGTTTTGGAGTCCTGACAGCCGTACCTGCATTTATCAGACTGTTGCAAGTTCTTAAGTATGAACCTCTTGTAATTGTTGGTAGGGATGACCTGGTCCTGTATAGCTACAAGGAATCCCTCAGTCTCACGGAACATTTGGCCTGAGGTAAGCCAATAGTTTGACGCTTTCTTGTCAACGTTTTCTTGGCTAATCTTGTTTGCATGTCTCCCATGTAGAGGTTTTTCAATCCATCAATCCATCGTTGTAGCTTCTGTTCGTTGGTTTGGTGACTCGGTTGGTCATCTCGTCTACTAAGGGCGTTGTGTCATCTATTGAGCATATGATGCGATGCAACTCAGAGATCTCGGCCTTCTCAAAGAAGTAGGATCACAAGGCGAGTACCTGTTGAGCTAGCTGCTTGCTAATGTCCATAAGACCCCCACTGCGAGGATGGTACGCTCCTTTTTTTGTTAGCATACTCCTTACCCGCCTCTCTACTTTCTCGATGTCAGTTTTGCTCCACAGAACTATACCGAACGAGTAGTTCAAGGCAGAGCATGCGTAGGTGTTAATCGCCTTGACTAGATTCTTACTATTGAGTTCTGTTTTCAGAAGTAGCCGTATTCTTTTTGTGAAGGTCTGCGATATAGCTTCCTTCATTTTTTTGTGGTCTATCCTCCGGGCCTGCGCCATATTATTATTATTATTATTATTATTATTATTATTATTATTATTATTATTAAGCAGCAAAAATCAATTTTTACGATATTTTCATCACGTTTTCGAGATACAGCCTATTTTCGTAGACATACGCGTACACGGGACCGTCTAGGCATCTGATAATTATCCGGACCATCTACCAAACCCTGTGATCAATAAAAATTACAAGAGATTTCGAGAAAATACTAAATTTTGACGATGATACGTAAATATTGTCTCAGAAAGTTTCATTTTCATGGAAAAATGTAATTCAAGGTAATCAAATTACTTTTTAAGGTTGAGCTATTTCATCACATACATTTTTTCAAAATGATCTTGGCGAAAACCTAAACCAACTCTAGTTTCAGTTGTAGAGCTGTTATACTGAATCGCAGATGAATCTACTTGTTGGAGAAGCAAACGTGTTACAACAAACTTCGAATATTTTCATGTATTCATTCATTATATTCAAGCACATTGTTGGAAAATTATTTAACAATATTTCGAATGGAAATATATTATTTATAAATATAAAAACCGGTTAACAGATCCACAATAGAGCCTGCAACCGTTAGTTTCGGTGTATCGGAATTACTATTGTTAAGGACATGATTGTCGCCAGCTATTGGAAGAAGCTAGATCTGCTCAGAGTTAGGAAGTAATTTTCACAAACTAACCTCTCTCTGTCCAAGCATCAGGTAATATGCGGCCTGACATACTGTTCACATAGTCTCGCTGCCCCTATTTGATGCGATTCAGCGAAGCGCGGCGGGGGTGCAAGCGGATTTCATGTTGTGACGAAATTTGTATAAACTGCGATTGACGTCGCCAGGTTTTGAAACAGCGGTTGACAGAATAAGTGAATATGATATTCAATTTCTAATTTTATGCGTGTAAATTAAACATTATATTGTAGTGTTATTTGTTATTGTTGTTTGTTTATTTTTTTGTATTTTCTTTCTAATATGCAAACGCTTTCCGCTGGTTGTGAACTCCTGCTTTAGAGGTTCAAAAAGTAAGTCAGTTGGATGTGTATCTCTCTTATAGTATCCTGGTTATCATGATATTAGGTATCTGCATCTTAGCAGCTGATCCAGTATGAAAAAATATAGCTGTTTAAATGATTTACATTCATCTAAAACCTCTCATGTGGTTGTCACGCTGACCAATCGCCATGTTGAACTTTGTTCTTTGGAAAAGGTTAGTAGAGCTTTATTCAACATTTGTAATTTTGTTTCGCAGCCAGCAGAATATAGAGATTGAGGATACTTTGGTTTCTATTGAATATTAATATCATATTCTTATTGTGCTGTGTGGTGGATTGTTAAGCTAGACGTTATCCTGTATATTTTACTAGATCCAGTCCTGCAAGGAAGCACTTCTATAGAATCTAAATCGATATAAACCGCACACAATGCAGTGATGATGGCTTTTGAACAGAAAATTGCTTTCACCGTTGTTGAAAAATTGTGTTTTTCACACATGTATATCTGAATCGATTTCGCATGGGAGTTTCTTTGTGTCTGGTTTACGGAATTCGCGCAAGTTGCCTTGTTTTGTTTTTTTTTGTTATATGAAATTCCATATCAATTCAAATTTGAATTTCAAATTGAATTTTGATCATTATTCCCTGGGTGGAAGGTTCTGCACACTTCTAACGCAAGGTATAAAATGGTGTAATCGATTTGTCTAAACATCTTGAAATGGTCACAGATAAAGTCCAAAAAGTCTTCTTAAACATTTTAGATGACGGCTATAAATGACCATTAGCACGAAAAGCACACAGCAACTGAGATGGATCTTTTTTCTCGCGCCCTTGTTTATTTTCATTAATCAAAATTGTATCCCAAATTTATTTTTTGCAATCACTACTTCCTCTCCTATCGACACGTTAACCACAGAATAAGTTTTTTCCTCTCCTGTGCCGTACTAAGGAAAATACTAATGATACATCTGGAGCATAATCTGTGGTTGACATGTGATTATTTGTCTGTTACATTAAACAATGACAGATAACAACATGCTCGCTTGTCGCTTTGGAGCGCTGAACGTCCTTTTGGGAGCGGGTTGTCCTGTCCTACTTTTGCACGGTGCCATCTTAAAATTGGAATGATGGCTTCGTGCAATCTCAGCATGTTACTGGACCTTTCAGACTATTGTAGTAGTTGTTAAATGTTGTAGTGAAAATGAAAGACGAAGACAGATAAAGAAAATATATAGTCAAACATGTGTCAAGTCTACTTGAAGGAGGTCACCGTGGTACTATTAAGAGGTACCTTAAACATGTGATTCTGATTCGGCCAGACAAACACGGCCATAATATGTTAGTAAAACGAATGAAAAATTTACGTACCGTTACTCGTTCATTTCTTTTTATTACCATTTCAATACGATTTGGATATGAGCTTCAAAGCAATGCAGTTTCTTTATTTTCAACACTAACATTTCTCTATCATCGTAGATTTTTAGTTTCATGTTGTTTTAAAAACGATATGTCTAAGAGGATAAAGTAGCACAATGACCTAGGTTTCAAGTATCTGCCATCCGAAACAGGCTAGAGTTCAGACTATAAATTATTTTTGAAAAAGTTTGGTAGATTTTTTATACCTATTACTTATTTCAGGCGCTGCTTTTTTAACTGTTCAATGGTAATGGAATGGACTTCGTACAACTTCAATATAATTTGACGTTATGCTCTCTGGAAACCGTTTTTACTTTTCTCTAGACACGTCCTTGTAACTTTTATATTTCAATCTAAGAACACTTTGAATTCTATAGGCCTCTTACGTATAAGAGTTTTATCGCAATACTTATGAAGACGAAACGCGTTTCTAGTCCCTTAATTTATAATTTATACAATATTGAAAATCGTATTATGAATATTCATGTTTTATCCTAATGTGTGGAAAGTAACTGTTATCACATTTTTTTGTTACAGAAACGAAACAAGAACTGGAAGACCTTATGGCCGACATAAAGAAAACTGCCAATAAAGTCCGTGCCAAGCTGAAGGGTGAGTTCTGACCACACATGTGACTCTTTATTAGGGATGCATCGAGGACTTAGGGCCGTATCGTGACTCGTTAGTACAATTGTAGGATGCCTTTATGACCTCGTTGATTTTCATAGTTTTCTACATTTCAGTGTTAGCGCTTATTTTGATTTTATGTTACACATATCTATTTGCATCAAATTGTTTATGCTATCGATTTATATCATCTGCATCAGCCAATTCAGAAAGGAAACATAGCCTCACAATAAGAGAGCGTTGACGCTAACATGGAACAGTAGAAACCCCTAGCCTTTCTGAAGGAGAGAAAATGCTATAAAAATCAAAGAGACCATAAAGGCGTCCTACAATTGTGTATTTACGGTATTTGCGCAGCTTATTTTTAGAAGGTGTTACGGTAATCCAAGAACCAGCTATATAAACGTATAAAATGAAACCACATTCTAGTTATTGCCTTTTTGTAAAAAGTAACAGGAATAACGAATATGCCGCGATTCTGCAAAGAAACTTTTTACTACGTAAGGACAATTTCTCGCATCTGGATTGGTCCCCCCTACGACATCCAGCAGTCTCCGCCCAAAGCCCAAAAATATGTAGGATTTTATTTCAGTGTTCGTGATGGTGGCCATGACACAGCAGCCATTCTATTAGTCAATTTTTACAAAATTGAGCAGCTTGGGGCATTGCTTTGCCTATTTTCAACGAAAATGTACGTTTAAGATGTTGAGTATATACATTTTAAATATCTCATGAACGTGCTTCGTTTGGAATAGGAAGGACTGAAGAGTATATCAAAAGTATTTGTTCCAAAAATTTCAACTCATTGTATTTTAAATATAAAAACATGCCATAAACTACACAAACTTGCGACGGTTTGCTCACAAAAAAATATCTAAGCTGCAAAATTGTGGCGAGTTAATTAATTTTAAGCATGAGTGACCTTTTGAAAACGAAAATATAATCTCGATATTATTAATAGTAGGGGAAATAATCCAGAGCTAATCACTTCATCGAGTACCTACCTGGCCGACCATTCGGCCAAGTTTCTTGTGAGAAAAGTACTCGGTGCATCCCTTTTCTTTATTACCACTATGACACATTGTATAGGATATACAAGGTCTGGCGCAAAGTAAACAGGACTTTTGAAAGATATACGATACAAGTAGCGCCATCTATTATCGCAGACTAGCGTTGGATACATCTTTCATTAATGCCCTGTCAAAATTTCATGACAATCGAACTTCACGCGGAGTGACAGTACGTTTTCAGCATTGGTCGAAAAAAGAGCCAATATCAAGTTCTGTGTTAAACTTGGTAAAACATTTACCGAAACGCATCAGATGTTGATGCAAGTGTATGTACACGGTTCAAAGAGGGTGGAACATGTTGGCCAGCCAAAATTTGAGATTACGCCAGAAACCGCCGAAAAAGTGCGTGAATTTATCAAAAATGATCCAAAATCTTGATTGAGATTCATTCAGTCCATACCATTTTGACCAAGAATTTGAGCATGATAAAGGTGTGTTCACGGTTTGTTCCACACAAGCTTACGGACGACCAAAAATTGCTTAGAATTCAACAAAGTGAAGACAATCTTGATTTGTTTTTACGATTCGAACGGACTTATTCACAAAGAAATTATTCCACCAGGCCACACGGTTAATGCTGTTTTGTCTTGGTGTTATGAGGCGTTTGTTGTCGCGTATTCGTTGCGTTCGGTCAGCATATCGCGAAAAGGAAGCTAGCGCTTGTTGCACGATAATACACCATCTTATCGATCGACGCTTGTGTCCGATTTTTTGACAATAAATACAATTTTAACCATCAACCACCCCCCATATTCTCCTGATATGGCACCGTGTGACTATTTTCTGTTCGGTGTACTACATTTGGCCAAGAAGGGACAGCGGGATGCTGATCATTTTGAAGGACAATGAGCTAAAATAATCAGCCGAAAATCTTTTGGTCTGTGCAAATCGCTGTATTAACTCTGAAGCAGTCTATTTTGAATGAAATAAATTCGATTTTCTGAAAAAGAAAATGTGTTTTCTTTGTCCTGTTTCATAAGCACATTGAAAAGCTTCCGAGTTTGAAGTGAATCTTAGCAAAGCAGCATTACCTAACCTAAATACCTACGTCGATACAAAAAAATGGGTCTAATTTTAAGCAACTTGATCGATCTTCATTAAATTCGGACTTAGTTATCCGCAAATTGAACCCTTTCATTCCAGGCCGCGGCTCGCACTGTGAACAAAATTGAATCGCGCAACTTCGTTTAATATAAGATAATAGTTTAACAAAACTCCAACCAAAATTGTTTTTTGCATCCAAAATTATTATAGTAATTTTCCACTGCTCAGACGCCTTTTCTGACAGTTGTATTTCTTACTATTTGCTCTCCCCCTTTTATTTTCATTCTTTTTTCTGTCTGCTATCTATTTTTCATGTTTGGTTTCTGGGTGACCAGACCGACATAATAAAAAACTGACTGACGTACTTTTACACAAATAGACAGACAGACAAATAAACAAAACTTACAGATATCTAACATCTAACTGACAACATAAGTAACATACAATTTGACAACAGAAGCAGAACTCAAACTCTGACCTAACGCTCTATACAGAGTGTGACAAACATCATAGAACCATACCAACGGACAAGAATTTCGACTAAAAATATCCGCACTCATATCCGTTCATCCATTTGGGTGCTTTTGCGTTGAGGTGTAATTATTAAACTACCTGACCGATTTTCATAAAAAGACCGATTTAGTAATTTACAAATTAAACCAATTCATCTGATACCAGTTCAGGCACATTTGCTGACTTTGTGGTGCTCAGCCTCACGTTTAATCCATACCTATCTACAAATTAAATCCTTCCATCCGATACCCCAAATATTCTCTTACTTTGGGTTGCTCACCACTACCATAACTTTTAAGTACCTAAGAACCAACCTAACAGGCACTCAAATCAGATCATCCGTGTTATGTTGTGGAGCTACAATGCCCCACACCACACAGAGAGAATAGACAAATATGCATGTCAAACTTTTAACACCCCTCATTTTTGCATCGGTTGTCAGCAATAGTAGATCTTTTATTTCGGAGAAACGATACTTTCATTAAATGATTGGCGTATGCAGAACTATCCTGGAGGCTGCCCTTTGTTAGCATTAAGGTAACTCAATCCCGTAGTTTTTGAGATACAAACACCAAATTGGGACATGTAAAAAGAAGAGCATCATATAGAGAAACGTTTTGCAATCTTTTCATTTTTTTTTTTTTTGTAGAAAAATATAACCTAAACACTGTTTTTACCATTTAAAAACTAATTTATTACTTTTACACTAATTTTATTGTCACACTTGCAAATATAGTCAGTGGCAGAAGTGCTACACCCAGAAAAAATGATTTTTCAACTTGTTTTTTTTCTCAATATAATAACTATACAGGGTGTTTCAGAACTATGGGAACAAACTTGTAGGGGTAATTCAGTGTAACAGTAGAAAACATTTGAGTATAGGGACCCTTATCCAGTAAAGTGTCACTACGGCACTACGGCCCTAAGACGCTTTAAAATTTGGAAATACGATGAATTGCCTAAATAGGATTTAATGATGTACATGATATCGTCACAACAATTGTTCAAAATGTCTTCCTCCAACCTGAATACACCGTTCCTGTGGGGTCATGTAAAGTCTTTGGTTTACGAAACTCCAGTAGAAACAGAGCAAGACTTAATTAGACGAATTACAGCAGCATTTGAAATCATTCAAAACGAGTATCAAATTTTTAGTCAAGTTCGCCGAAATCATGTGCGACGTTTAAATCGGTGTATTCAGGTTGGAGGAAGAACTTTTGAACAATTGTTGTGATGATCTCATGTACAAAAGTCAAAAATTTAATGCATTAAATCCTATTTAGGCAATTCATCGTCTTTCTAAATTTTAACGCGTCTTAGGGCCGTAGTGACACTTTTCCGGATGTGGGTCCCTATACTCAAATGTTTTCTACTGTTACTCTGAATAACCCCTAGAAGTTTGATCCCTTAGTTCTGAAACACCCTGTATTTAAAGCATGCTGTGGCAACAATGTCAACGTTCTATTTTTTTGTTTTGTTTACGTTTGTTAAAGTGTTATCTCTCGAGTTCGAAGACGTCCAAATTATCACCATGTTTGCGACTTTGACACGGGTAGAATTATTACCTATCGAGATGTTGGTTTTCCCTATCGCGAAATTGGCCGCCATGTTAATTGCACTGTAATGACGATAATGCGTGTGTGTCATGAATGGATGGAAGAAGGCAGAGGAACATGAAGGCCAACTGGTCCAACGAGGCGTACCACAGAGCGTCAAGATGGGCGCTTCAGACACCTAGCCCTACAAGACCTGTTACTAAGTGTACACTCTATCGCCGCATTCGAGCTTTTGGACTTTTTTCATACCGTTCACGGTTAGTGCTTCCTCTGACTGCGGACCACTGACGTCAGTGTTTGAAGTGGAGCAGAGAACGGCAACATTGGGAGGCAGAATAGAATGGTAAAGGTACATTCACACTCAGCCGTGACAACGCACTTCCCCAAACTATTCGTCGTACTACAGACGTTCTTCAAGAAGTAGGCGTTAAAATTTTGTTGTGGCCACCCCGTTCACCGGATTTAAATCCCATCGAACATGTGTGGGATATGATGGGGAGGAGTCTATCCACTTTGCACCATCCGCAACATACTCTGCCACAGCTAATCCACGAAGTTCGAGTTGTTTGGAATGAGGTGCGACAAACAGACATCGATCATCTGATTTTGTCGATTCCTAGAGGTATACAAGAGTGTATTCAGCTGCAGGGTCGTCCAACACATTCATTTTTTCTTATTACTTGTCAATAAAATTTCGTGAGAATGTTATCGTTGCATTCTTGATATAAGACTACCTCACAGCCAAAAAAATCAAGTTAAAGAAATTATTTTTTTCTGAATCTAATATCACTGAGTATAATTTATGACAAATTTATAACTATGTCGACTGGAATATATCATGCCGATTCATCGTTCGCTGCCCGTACATTGGCTGTCCCTCTCGCGGAGGTTCCTGGGTATTTATTTTGTATTCAACGAACTCCAGAGGATTCGAGCTCTCTATATCAAAGGGGTCGAGATTGCTATTCATACTTTTCGAAGGCTCCCCATGTAGACTGAAGCTCCTCAATGAGGGCGCAATCGCTCACGCTCATTAGCGTACCTCTGATTGCCTAAGCTTCGATCCCACTTCAAGATACCTGTCGAATCCTCTGGTCGTTCTACGAGGGTGCCTCGCTCATACCCACAGCTTCGAGGGCGTTTCAATATGTTTCAATTATATTATTATTATAACCGCGGGTTCTCCTAGTCTCCTAGTCAAGGTTCCAGTTAGCGGGTACCAACTGGGGCCTTGGTCTAGGGTACCTGGCTCTGCGGTTGCGAGGCCTCTCGTCCGGATCGTAGTCCATGAGGAGTCGTAGCTGCTCGTTCGGGTGGTCCTGAGCTTTCTGGAAGGTCTTCTCCGCTTTTTTCCGCATGTACTCGTGAATGGTGTCCCAATGCAGGTCTCTACGCAAGGTTGAGTTTCTTACGTAGGATGGTGCACTGGTGGTGATCCCTAGTAGCTTCATCTCTAGAGCAGCAAGTCACTTGCGGTAGCTGGGAGCAGCGTATCCGCAGACCGCGGAGGCGTAAGCGAGCTGAGGTCTGGCGATGGCCTTGATCAGCCGTAGCTTGGTCGCTAGCGGCATCCGGCTGTGTCTACCCAGTAATGGGTAGAGTTGGGCCATGACTGCTCTGGTCTTTGCGATGACAGCTTCTATGTGGTCTTTTCAGGTGAGGGACTTGTCAAATACGATCCCCAGATATTTGACTTTGACACTCCACTGGATATCTTCGTCGACATCGGCAACAATGGACATTACTGAACCTTTATATAGTGTTGAAAGGTGATGCACAGATCTGAGGGTTTTAACTGTCGAACGTTCACGTGATAGTCTATAAGAAAGCCCAGTTCCATTAGTGGCGCTCAAAATCGAATAATGGTGCAACATTTTTTAATAAGTGCTGTAAAAAACTATCCAAACCTTGAATTTTTAATGACGTGGAACCACATGTCATCCTTCTAGGGAGATATCGGTGGGTCTGTTTTTGAGGACCGTATTATTTTGCGGAAAGAAAATTTAACCATATGGTTCATGTTACGTCACCTTGTACAAAATCGGAGATAAATAGAGAGAAATATTTCGCATTGTACTCGATAATCATAATGTGACCAACATTTATGAGATATATTAACCTATATCATATTTTGTAAATTAAATTCGTAATAATTATCGATTAAATATAGGTTATAAGGAATTTGAACCATAAGGTTCATATTGCGTCACCTTGCAGAAATACGAAGGAACGCCAATGAATATAGAGGAATATTTCGCATTTACTTAGTATTTTCTGAAAAATATATTTTCTGTTGAAATGATTGTAGAAAAATTTGTTTCTAAAATCCTTTGAAAGAGCCATTTGCTTTCATGTGTCTTAACTTTTTGTTTATTATAGTTTAGTTTTAGGAGTACCAACTACTTTTGGCTCCTAGATTTGTCAGTGGATATCATATATTTCAATATCGATTTAAAGAAGTGAAATTGACGAAACCTATACATGTTCATGCATGTCTGATGGAAAATAAATTAATTATTATTATTATTATTTTTATTGTGTACCTTCAATGTTCTTGGAATTTTCAGTCAGGTTATCTTGAATTCGTAAAACATTACTTGAATTTTAATGAAACGTATTCACGCTGAAATTAAAGATCTCCTTGTTTCTGCTAGCTGCGATTTTAAAAGTCTTTGTATATTTCGAGACAGAATATGACGTTTTTTGGGAATAGACAACAATGATTCAATTCAGATTGGAGGGATGCAATGTAAAATCTAAGCGCTTTTTTGAATTGGGTACTTATTATTATACGTTCTCATTTTTGGTTACAGTAATAGAGCAAAATATAGAACAAGAAGAGACGCATAACAAATCATCGGCAGACCTGAGGATACGAAAAACGCAGCATTCGACGTTATCAAGGAAGTTTGTCGAAGTGATGACGGAGTACAACCGAACACAGACTGACTACAGAGAACGGTGTAAAGGAAGGATACAGAGACAGTTGGAAATCAGTAAGTTACTGTTACATTATTTTTACTGGAGACCGATAGGTGATATACTAGAAGCATCTGTCAGATGCTCTTGTTGCCTTTATCAAAGGTAGAAGTAGTTCCAGGTACATGGACAGCACTTTAAATGCATCATTTCAGTAACATTCAGGATATGCGTACATACTGACTGAATTCTGTATTTTTTTACATTTGGAACACATATGATTTGAGTAGTACAGTTTGATCAGAACAATTTTTTCAGTCCCTGATAGACCAGATCAGCCGTGCAGTAGATCGGATTACATTCGAAATATATTCGTCAGAAATATGACGAAAATATATTTCTATCATTATATAGTACCCGGAACAGAAAAGTGGAAAATATTTGAGGTCATGTTGTGATCGCTGTGCTGGCTTTTGTGATGGATGACGAAAAAGTGCGATAATCCCGATCGGTCATATATAGCAGACCAGACCAGAACAGCTCATATCAATGCAACATCATATGTTCAACTTGTATAATTGATAGAATATAGTCTCTCAGAAATTGCATCTTGGAAATAATGGAATAATTTAGAAAAAGGATCGACTCGGTACCGGCGGGATTAAAGTATTTTGTAGAATGCATGAGGCACAATACGGCAACAACATTAATGCATATTTAGATATGCTCACAATATAATCCTATCGTCATCCGGTCTGAATTGTGTCAAAGCTAAACGTTCACAAAAAATTCTCCGCACTATGTTTTAATAGCCTTGTAACTTATTTGGGCATAGTCACTATGTGTTTTTGATGACGAAAATTTATTTAATTATAGCAGCACCAGTTTGCGAATGGCCAAAATTTCTAATTTTCGAGAATTATTCGAGAACTGAATAGAAAAAAGTGGAGCCAAGAAGCTTGCATCAGTACTCCCCACACATTAGTAAATATATATGTATTTCGACAAAATTCAAGCAATGAGGACTCTGCCATCTTCATCAGGAGTTGCAATAACATTGGGAGAAAATAGCAACTATTGTGCAAAATGATACATGGTACATTCGTCAAAATTAATATAAACTACACACAGCTGTATGTCAGGAACAAATTAAAATGGATTAAAAATATTTAAAAACGAAAGTTAAAATTACATCGTGAACCACCTGCTGCTGCACAACATGGTGTTGCACAGGATCATAAGTAGGATGAAACATTTGAAAGATGACAGAGGTTGGTGGTGTCAGTATCGATGCACAATAGTTGCTATTCTTTCCCAATGTTATTGCAGCTCTTGATGAAGATGGCAAAGTCCATTGAAATCTAGAGATTAATAAAGTATAAAGAGTCCTCATTCCTTTAATTTTGTTGAAGTACCTAACAAAAATAGGAAAATAATGGGCAAAATCCGCAAAAAGTGGATTCGAGCAGAAAATAGGATAGGTGACCCGAGCGATACGTATTTCTGCTGGTTGGCTTCATCAGGCCCGAAATGAATGCACATATGCAACTACAAAAGTAGAAACACATGCCCACACATCCGGATACGGGTGTAACCTGAGGAAACGAAGATGGAGAGGAAAATATATATATATATATATATATATATATATATATATACAAAGAGAATATGATCATGCGGAGAAAGGTATATAACAACAAGTAGGAAAATAATGGGCAAAATCCGCAAAAAGGAGGAAAGTGGATTCGAGCAGAAAATAGGATAGGTAACACATATGAAACTACAAAAGTAGATACACATGCCCACAAATCCGGATACTTCGTTTCCTCAGATTACACCCGTATCCGGATGTGTGGGCATGCGTATCTACTTTTGTAGTTTCATATGTGCATTCATTTCGGGCCTGATGAAGCCAACCAGCAGAAATACGTATCGCTCGGGTTACCTATCCTATTTTCTGCTCGAATCCACTTTCCTCCTTTTTGCGGATTTTGCCCATTATTTTCCTACTTGTTGTTATATATATATATATATATATATATATATATATATATAGAAAGATTCCTGGTTCCAGAATTTTCGAACAAGCCATATTTCTACTAAGTCTCGAAGTAACCAGAAAGTAAATAAACGGCAAATAATAAATTTTCGTAGTTTTTAAAAATAAAAAATAATCTGCAACTCTGACAATATTCAAAATATGTATTGAGTTAGTCGACGTTCTCATATTTTCCCTTTTTACTTGTTCCTGTGAAAGCATTTAAAGTATTCTGTCATTGGCACAGCGGTACGTTTGTGTAAAAATTGTATTAGAACCCGAGCAGTAACTATTGGAATAGAGGACCTCGTAGCCACTTCGCTGAAGTTTTTTTTTGAGGCCCTTGTTCGGACTCGAATCAATCATCCACATACAAGACCTGTTTGACTCAGCTAACAGCGCTGAAAATACAGTCCGACCCTGTTCCGTTGTGTCTGTCGCTGCTTCTGGCCGAAGCGACCGCGTCGACAGCTCCGGTTATATCGGTGCTTTCCGCGCTAGAACCTGTGCTGCTCTGGAATTGGCCTCATCTTTTTAAACAGCATTGCAGATATTTGAAGCCAATCGTGAGTATAGTGTAGGTCTATCCATTGGAGACAAACAACAGAAACCAAACATGCGAATGGTGAATGCTAGAAAAATGAAATAACGTTGTATACCACCGGTTCCTAACCGTTATCATTTGCAGGGACCCCAACTTTAAAAAATAAACAGTTTTATTCTTAAAACAGTTTTTATTCGAAACGTCTAAAATAACACAAAGTAATTCAATTTTAAACGTAACATTAATTAGTAGTTCAAGCTTATAATTTGAGTAGCGAATTCAGTCCGCCCCAATGAGATGTTCCGTGATACGGGGATCATAAAATATTCAAGAACTCTTCTCGGACAAAATAATACGTTCACTTACGCGTGGGAAGAAATGCTACAGAAATATATCTAAAACGTCTTTTTGCTTTCTATAGAAACTCTAAAGTTGGAGCTCTGAAAACTCCTCATCCTCCCACTCAGCGTGCAATTTCTGTTGTGTAACGTCAATGCTATATACCTACGCGTGATTCCGTATTGGTGTCGGGTATTACGTTATCAGTCTATGAGCTGTTTGTTCTGTCAAAGCTGTTGTCGTGTTTGCCTTGGTTGGCAATTGTGGGTTGGTATGGCGTTTAGCGATAATTAAACGGGGTTCATTGTATGACAGATTCCTGTTATTTAAACGATTACTAAATACATTGGTCGTCGATTGGACCATTGTACACATCGATCAACTTTATGATTTCTTCTGTATCACCCTTCAATATACAGGATGAGTTATACGAGTATATGTGGGCTCGGTCAATAATTTCATTACTACGCATGGTATCAAAAAAATAATTACAAGACGTACTAAAAATATTCATCTCTACAGGGTGATTTATTACTACGTAGTGACTATAACATAATTCTTTTTTAGTCAAAAAGGCTACATTTTATTGCAGATTTGGATAGGTCCTTACAAATGGAGTAACTTAGTATAACGGAATATATATATTTCAAAATTGTTGGGATACCGGACAATTTATTGAAAAACAAAAACGCTTAACCTCGATAACTCGCATCTCCTCAACTGTTATAGCTGGAGAACTAAATTTTATGATTACATATTTTTTCCCTACATGCTCAGACTTACTGTGTCAGTTTTTTTGATAGTCTATACAGAGTGGTCAAGAACGCAAACTGGTCGATTTCTGAAACTTTTCACTCTGTATATTTTCACTTCCTCTAATTCTCCTATTGCCAAGCTTTTTTTATATAGGTTTTTTTGAGGTTTGTACGGCTGATTTTTGAGTTACAGCTAACCTTTTTGTACTTCAGCTATCAAGGTAAATGACAAATATTACATTACATTTCAAAATAAAAAATAGAACTTAGGCCGTAACAACAGATTGTTAGAATTGTATTATTTTCATTATAAATTAAAAGTCAGGAAGGTGTCCTGTGTTTTTAGTTAGTCAAAAACCCGTCATACAAACGCTTATAAATCTTATCTAAAAAAACTTACAAAAAGCGAAATCAAAGAAAGCAAAAATGTTTTTGATAAATAGTTGAATTTGGGTACTTGTCGTATAAACTATCAAAACCTAAAAAGTAAGTAGACAGTGAAAAACATAGGATCATAATTTTTAATAATAACAGTTCGGCATTCTAGCTATAACACTTGTGGAGGTCAAAGTTGAGTGTTTTTTTTTCGACGGTGTGTCCAATATCTCCACAATTTGAAAACAAACCAAATTGCTTTGTTTGAAAGGGCCTATCCAAAACTGTAATAAAATGTAGGACTTTCATTTAAAAAAAAATGTATATTTGGATCACCACGTGGTGATGACTGACCCTGTAGAGATGAGGATATTTTTCTAATTAGAAGTATACTCTTTGCTACAGTTTGTCTATTTAACTCCTGTAGATACCATGTGTAATAGCAGGGTTATCGACCACGTTGAAATTTCACCCTATATGTTCGAACATTGGTGGATTTGAATATGATCTCATTTTGGAGAAATAAGCATATGAAAAATTCGTACGGTTATTGTTTAAACTGGTTTGGCAACTCAGAGTCACAACTACTGACTATTGTATCACTATTGTAAGGGTATCGCTAGGACAAATTGCTTTTGAATGCTGCTAAGCGCTAACGTTAAAATCTAATGTGTTCATGTACGCATATAATATTTGTCGTAGACCTAATACAATTAATCACAAAAAACTTTTTTCCTTTCACACATGTTTTTGTATCTGTATCAAAAGCTCATGGTTTTATTGTCAGATATACCGGAGATTTCAATAACTATATTAGATTGAAGATAGTGTACGATACGATTTAAGCTGAAATATCCATTTCTGGTCTGGTATCCTTATTATTACCATTGAGAATCCCCTCAGAAAAAGTTTCTCAATTATCTTTAAGGTCCGTATTAAGAACTACAGGTTGGCGGTTGCGTACCCATAAACTTAGGCTGAGGAAATACTTCAAATTCACACTCAGTATGTTTCCACGATTATAAC